CGCGCTCAGCGCCCCCTCGCCCGCCGGTCCCCGGCGCCGTCCGCGGCGCGGAGGAGCGCTCAGCCCGGGAGGAGCTGGACCTCGCTCCAGGGAGAAGCGAGTGAGGCAGCGTCACACAGGGCGCGAAACTTTAACTGTGAGCCACACGGAGGATTCGGTGACGGTCTGGATCCCTTGTGAGAAGCAACATTGGGATGGAACAAGATTTTAGGGGCCACCACAAAATAGCGTATGTTGGCTTCAGGATTGAGATGTTTGGCATCTGGTTATGTTGGTCAAATGCATTAGGAGTTGACCTGGTGAAATATACAGAAAAAAAACAGCTGCTCTATGAGCTCTGGACAGCTACTCAACAGTTCTGTTTAGCAAAATGCTGTTAAAGCTTACGGTTAAGGGTTTTAAATCATCAGCGTTAACAACTGTAACATCCAATTTACAGGACTGATTCCAAGAGCCTATCAAGATATTAAAAACTCGGCAAATTATTTAACTAGACATTCAGGAAAACCAAAACATGTCTTATGTGTCTGTATTTCCCAGACAACAGATACAAGTTTCTTCTACACTGCTTAATGTGAGAAGATTGGTACAGCGTTGATTTGAGAGTAATTAAAAAATATTTTGCCCATAGGCAGTACAATAATGGACAAAAAAAAAAAATCCCTCAAAGTAGGTCTCAACTGCAAAATACCGAGCTCCCATGTCCCCTCTGACTGTGTTCCTCAGTGAAATACTCATCTTCCCTAACAGAATCATTCCCTCAACAAAACAGAGAGATGAACAACCTTAGTCATTAAACAATAAGGTCAATTTTGAGACTCTTAAAAAAATGAGGCTTTTCACCAAATACACTCTATGTCACTACTACAAAGAACAAAACAGAGACAGACAATACAACAGACAAACACAAAAACGAAGACAATTAAAAGCTGGAATAAGAGTAACCTAAGAGGTTGCTCAAGGGGTGTTCCTTTTATGAAAAACAAACTCCCTGATAGTTTATAGGTCTCAGTGACAAGAGACCAAAGTACCAGTTAACATCTTTTACAGCATGCACTGCCACCCCTGATCAACATCTTTTTTTTTTTTCTGAAAAAATGTCCTGGGATGAAACAATTAATTAGCTCAGAAAAAAACCACAAGCACCAATGGACACAAAAACTTCCAACAGAAGTGCAGAAAGGTGACAGCAGGAAACAATCCTGGGACACAGACCACAAAACTTAAGCCTCTTCTATCAGGAGAAGATGGCTACCTATACGGGACAACTGTCGTGCAACAAGAATTTATCAAGCTAATGAGTTGGGGGCAGGGAGGGAGGCTGCTGGTGGTGGAGGGTTTAAAAGAGGTTTTACGTTTTTATAGGTTAGCCAACAGATGCGAAAATGAGAAAGTGGATACTGAAACTCAGTCATAATGCAAACTAAGCATTGGAATTAACAAATAATAGAAATGTAAATAAATATTTGTGGGTTTTGTTTTGAGCTAGAATTAACAATCATATTTTATTCTGAAAACGTGAGGTGAATTTGTTTCTTCAACAGTCAAGTTAAAACATTCCAAAATCTTTTTTAAAACAAACAAAAAAATCGCTTCCTTGGGTAAAGTATTTAAAAGTTGCTCCTGCATTTTTCATATACCAAAGCTCTGATTAACAGAAAGGTAAGTTGACACCATAACACAGATTCTCAGGACTACATTTGCCTGCATTCAACAGCAACCAGTAAAAACACTGAAGTCTAAATCGGTAACTAAAAATGTTACACCAAAACCACGTTTGACAGAACGTGGTAGTCATGATCAATGCCCTTACTTCAATTTCTTATTTCATGTACAAATTAGAAGCTTTCGCTTAAAGAGCAAAAATCAATCCTGCTTTTTTTCCCCACTGGTTCCAAAGAAGTAACCTTTATTTCACCTTAAATATCACGACAAGCAGAGGTAATCTGTTTAATCAACTGAATTACAGCAATACCCCTAAAATACAGGCATAATCAATGCCAAAATACCAATCCTCATACTTTAAATCACCTTTAATTGTAAGGAGTTTTATCCAGACTTACCATATAAGCAATATCACACCAAGAGCCCTGGCTGCTGTTTTAGAAATTAAGTACTGCTGTGTTACATTTGAAGGAGGACAGTTAGGGGTTTCTGTGAAAATTAGTCTCATAAAACAGGGGAATGAACTTAGTACCTCAAAAAGAGCACAGGAACAGTTCTGTTCAGATTAGCAACTGAATACATTTACACTTTTGGAACTTGTAAAAACCTGTGAAGGAACTGTCACTTACTCTGTGTGGCCCTGAAAGACATTCACAGAATGGATAGAAGGATCTCTGAAATCCCACAGGCGGAAGGTTGTATCACGTGATGATGTCACCACGAGACGCTGGGTGGGATGTGTACAGCAATGTGTTAGCTCTTGGTCATGCCCTACAATCACAGATGAGACCATGTAAGGCAATGAAAATAACACTTTTCATTTCCACATACGCTTGGAATGAAATGCTGATGGTTTTTTCTTTTTTCCCCAAACAGTAAACAAAATAATAAGAACAACTCTGAACTACGACTGCTGTAAAGGTTTAGAATGATATTTAAAAGCAAAAAACCTACTACTCACTTCACGATTATTAAGTAGCGATAAGTTATTGCTACTTAACATGCCATGAACACAGTAAAGCATTTTGCAAGAACTAAAATTTGGCTACGTTCAGTTTAAAAACAATTACTTCACAGGATATATCACAAGCTTAAAAGAACACAAATTCACGTTGAGAGGATTAACAAGGCGGGAATTTTAGAAACTATTACAATATTGAGCAGCAGCTCAAATCTTGCACACACTCAAATCATACTCCAGAGAAACAACTTACTTTTCCCAATGTTTTGATACCCACAGATAATCCCACATATAAAAATAAAATAATAATTTATCTTTTTGTGAGTGAACAAGTACCTGTAAGAGAATGGACAAGTTCGGAAGTCTCTACATCGTATAGATTTGCTGTTCTATCCCACGATGCCGTCACAGCTTGCTTCCCCCCAACAAGCCAGTCAGCTGCTATGACCACTCCTTGATGGCTTTTGAGTGAAGTTAATGGGGCTCTGACAGTGGGACAATCGCTAGAACCATCTCCATCTCCATCAGGTTCATCCTTATCCGAGAACTCAACTTCATCTTCTCCAGACGTTTGCTACAAAACGCAAGAGAAAAAAGACTTAGAATAAACGGGCAGCAATGTCTCTAAATTACACTTTACACTGTAAATACTTCCCAACCTCCTTAAATTGCATGTAGGTAACTTAATGCTGCGGAATCTATTCAGGTATTCACTATCAAACACTCAGCTGAAGGAATAATACTGGCAAGTTAAATGCAGTTTTAACAACTACTTCATTTTAAAATTGCTTCTGAACTGTTTACCTCTGGGTGTCTGTCCCCTTTGCTATCTGCTAAGTCTTTTTGTATTCCCCTTGCTCTATTACCCTTCAGTTTCATTGCAGCACATGTATCAAGGGACTTTTTTTCCTGTAAATTTTTAAGGGTAGGAAGCATCTAGCAGGACACTAACTATTATAATCATTGGGAAGACAATAATTTACAGCCATATTTTATCCATTAGAATCAAAATCATGACCTCAGTATTTGTCTGCTGGCTGATACATAGTCATCATGCAGTGCTGATACAAACTGGATACAAAATAAATTCTTTTGCTAACCATGAAGCATTGATCTCTGAACCCTATTTCACTTACGTAAAGACAAATATGCTTTTCTTTTGTCGTATTTGGATGTGAAAAAGTAACATTTGTACTGCTCTTTCAAAATGGAAATGCCAAATCAAATAAACTGAATCAAGCATTTTCCATTCAGAAACCTATCTCATTTTATACAGCCATCTCTTGCCTCTACTCAGCTTAGTCAGAAGCTCATGCTATATAAACTGTGTTTGTCTTCACAATTTAGCAAGCGTGTTTTTAAGCCAAATACAGCACTTGACAGTCTACAGTAAATACTGACTAAATAAAAGCTTGGGGACGACAATGCCAGATAGCGTGATGATTGCTGGCAAGGGCCGAACAGAAATCAAATTTAAAGATATAATTAAATAAATACCAAAAATACAAGTCTTGGTCAGTTTTCAATTCAAAGCAACTATAACTAATAAGGGCATGTAGTGATAGGACAAGGGGCAATGGATTTAAACTGAAAGAGGGCAGATTTAGATTGGATACAAGGAAGAAATTTTTCACTCAGAAGGTGGTGAGGCACTGGAACAGGTTGCCCACAGAAGTTGCGGATGCCCCATCCCTGGAGGTGTTCAAGGCCACATTGGATGAGGCTTTGGGCAAACTGGTGTAGTGGAGGGTTTCCCTGCCCATGGCGGGGGTTGGAACTAGATGATTGTTGAGGTCCCTTCCAACTCTAAACATTCTATGATTCTAATACAGGTGCCTCAGTAGTTACTACAAAAAAGAATTACTCAACAGTTCATAAACTTATATGTTTATTATCTTGAACAAAACGACAATTAACGTACTTGCAGCTGCATATTCTATTCTGCACCATAGATCTTTGAAAACGTGAAGTGAGTCTTTTTTGAAAGAAAGGCTGAAATATATGTTAATCTAAACCCTTAAAATCTCACGTTTTGCAATCCTGAAATCATGTGATTTTTTTATTTGTGTATAAATTTCACATTCTGTCTTATCATAAAACCTGTATCTGATGGAACTGCTGTGCAATTAGTTTAGTCACAGTAAGGTGATTGCTTACATTGCAGTCTGCAGTTGGCTGAGGTGTAGGCAACTGTACTATGTACCTCCAGATGTGAGCTGTCTGGTCTCCAGATGCTGCACAAGAGGAAGATGGGGGGGAAAGAGACTAAATAAGAGCATTTCCACGAATAATAAAAACAAGCTTTAACATTACATTTGGCAATACTGCCTTGAGTTGCATCTTTTTCTAACAGATGCTATTATAATCTTTTTAGTAAGCAAGTCTCAACATCAACAGTTACTTTCCTGGCTTCAATACTAATAAGAACATAAATCATTATGCAAAATGTAAGTAGCTACCAAATTAATTGTTCCTACAGTGAAAGCATCCACTTAAACACTACACATCAGAACATGAGCATTGCTGTTCTAATAACTAACATTTGAAGAAGACATTTAATACATCACCAGGTGCCATCCTTCGTTTGCTATTTTTCGAAATACTGGAGTTCCTCTTCATTCAATGATTTCTTTCATTAAATGATTTTAGCAGAGTTTTAATAAGAAATCCAAAACAGTAAGTGTGAAGCTATTCTGCATCTGCCTTAAGCAACTCAGCTTAACTAGCATCAGTTTACAGCTCAGTATGTACCATCTGATTTTAGACCTCATTTGTTTTTGAAATAGACTTACTCATTATTATCTACCGAGAAACTCAAGATTCTCCTTGTTACAGACAGAACAAACATGCTCTAATACCTAGGGGTACAGAGTTGAGAGTTCTAGATGGAGAAGAAAAACAATTTGCTATGAGTATGCGCAGACCCAGCAAGTGCAATGTACATGAAAGGACTAGGAGAAATATCTGATCTAACAGACCAAGAACGAAGGCTAGAAGAAAGGTCAACCTTATATTATTTCTAGTGTCAGTATTGCAGATCAAGGAGGAAGATATTTTATTTTAATCAGCTCTAAATCAATCGAGTGACACTGAAAAACAGGTCCCCTGAAAACTTTTGACTTGGCAGAATTACCTCTCAGAAAAAATGACAGAATGACAAAAAATCTAGCTCTGGGCAGCTTTTCTTGGGTTAGTTGGTTGGTTTTGGTAGGTCACAGCACCACTGTTTATGGTACTGAAACACTGACTACAGTTAGCATATGGAAACAGGAAAAGCCAAACGGCCAAACTTAAATCACTGTTAGCCTAATTAGAACGCATTCTACTCCCTACCCTCCTTTAAAGTGGCCACTGTAGATGCACAAAGAAGCAGTGTTTTAATTTCTAACTCAATAATAATTATCCTCATTTTACAATGACTTACCTAATAGCAGCAAACTGAGTCCAGATTTCTCTAATCCCAAAGCTAGTGCCCTAATTGCTGGGCCATACAAACCATAGTATTAACCACATTAGACAGTTCTCAAGCCTGAAGCTGCACTGATGGTATTCTCAGTCCTGAAAACATCTTTACACTAAGAGTCATATTTTGGAGTGTTTTTTCTGCATACTCAATATCACAACATTCTTTTCCTTTACTTCTGGAAATATTTCAAAAGGGTTAAGCTGTATGATTCTAAGTTTCAAAGCAGGTAAGCACAAACGACAATGATATAACAAACACAAATTGAAAGATCTAGCTCTGATTTGTTCTGCCTTAAAACATAAAAATAATTTAATCCACAAGGACACTGACAAAGCAGTAGGAAGAGGAGGCTACAACCAAAAAGATGCTAGCAAATGGCACTTATTTGTCATGACTTATTTATCACTTATTTTTCCATCATGATTAACATACTCCGCATACGAAAAAACTTTACATACCTGTAAGAGCCACTTGCTCAGCTGGATGAAACTTTATGGAATTTACTGTGTAAAACAAAATAATATTTTAAGTGAGTATGCTAAAAAATATTTCACTATGTTTTATCATGAAAAGCATTGAAAAAAAATCAAGAAGTCTTCAGTTTTAAGTATTTTTTTTGTAGTATAGCAATAGGTGAGATAAAGCACGATGATATTTTGAGTACATAAAACTGCAGTATCAAGGAAACCATCTTAGTTGATTATACAACAATAGACATTTTCTAGCAAGTTATTTCCTGAATCTAGTACAAGTGTTTCATGTTATAAGGGATAAACACACGACATTCAAACACCTATGTGTAAGCTGACAGGAGATAATGTGCTGCACTTCCATAAAACAAAATTTAAGTATTTGTTAGTATTTCTAACATAATGAAAACTTACTATATATGACCATCAACTTTCTGATTATTGCTTAAGATTACAAGAACAAATGCCTAAAAATCTAAGGCAAATGATACAAATTAGATTTCAGTCCTGCAACCAGATGTAATCAAAACATGACTGTTTGAAAGCAGTCCTGCAAGAATTCTCTCAGGCTACAAAGCTCTTCTTCATTTTCTATTTCATTGCATGAGATTCAATTATTTCTCATTACTAAGCACTTTAATTTGCAAAATCCATAAGCTACTCTTCAATAGAGTACTATTGGTACTATTTTAGTACTCCTTTTGAAGAAAGAACTTGGAAATCATTTCCATCCATCATACAAGCAAAATAGATGTCTATGCTGTCAAGAGACTGTGGTGTAATGAGTCTAAAAAGATACTCATTAAATTGCTCACACTGAACTAAGTCAATGGTGCACCAACTGCTGACACCCAACACCTTTGCTCCATGCCAAATCAACTGTCAAATGTAAACAAGCAAAGAAAAGTTTTACTAAATGAAAAATACATGTGTTTTTATATCATTTACATAAATTTATATATTTTTATAAATTATATTGTATATAAATTTTATATTTTTTAACTTAGTTTACACACAACTGTTGAAATACTAGTTAGAGCTTTTATAATTTTCATGGTTACCCAAATAGCAATATTTAAGAAAGAAACGAAACAAAACAAAAACTATTGGCATGAAAATGTAAGCCACTGGAGAGTTTAAACATGACTTTATGAAGGCTAAAGGTAACCTCTCCACACAGCAAGCAACCTGAGATACCTGCACGAATTAAAGTGTTACCTGTTGTTTCTACGCATCTATCTATTAGAATCTTTGTGCTGCAGGAGTGAGAAGTCATGTAGCAGGAAGAAACAGTAGAACTCACGGCTGAAGCAGCTGACCACTCTCTGGAGAACTTAATTCTACCTGTCTCTTTGCCACAAAGTTCCTGTGACGTGCTAGCTGAGTTACTTAACCAAACATACCAGGTCAATAACTGTGTTCCTCATTTTCTGGGTGCATGACTCTACGCGCCAGGGCACGATCACTCAAAGTGCTCAACTCTCAACATCAAGTTAAAGCTACGGAAAACTTCTCCACCTTTGGTCTATAAAACCCTACATTGTAACCTGTTATGAGATAGGAAGGGGGTCAAATTGGACACCAAAAATTAACATCAAAAGCACTTAACTGTGCTGCACCTCTCCACCCAAGGAGGGATTTAAAAAACACAGTTTCTGAAACATTCATACTGGTATAAAGGAAGACAAATGCCTACATTGAATTAAGTGTCTTCAAAACAAGATTTTAATACTATGCAACAAATGATGTATGGAATCATGTAATAAACAAAGAAGTGTAAACAGATGGTCACCCAGCATCTCTATCTTGTATCCCAAATACAACACAGATCCTGCAAAACAGCTTCTCTTGTTCTGCATATGCATGAGACCTCAATGAGTCCTGACATTTAACTTCCGAGTGTTGTAACTGAGCCTGTAAATTTCTTTGTATGGACTTGTTTATTCTTTTCGTATTTACAGAACTGTCTTAATACACCTCTCTAAGAAAGAGTCATAGTACGAAACATTCTCTCTATGAAGATTAATGGAACTTCACAATTGACTTGTTAACGGTGCTGGCAAACCTGCAAGTGAAACCACACTAAACATATTTGTAGATGCCCAAAACACATTTTCCCCTCCCAAATGCACTCTGTTTCCAGTTTTCACAACATGCCCTTATCTTACCTGATCCAACATGCCCTACATACTTGACAAGGCACTTCCCTGTTTCTATGCTCCACAGCAAAGCAGTGTGATCTACAAAGATTAAAAAATAGCTGTAAATATTGTTACAAAATACACAGTTTTCACTTTTAACCGATTCAACAAACAAGTTATCTTCAAATAGAGAACATATCATATGAAATAGACTTCAAATGTAGAATGGACCAACTCATCTTATTACCTTATATATAAAATATAAAAGCTTCCTATCATTATCACTTAATACCCATCTCCCAAAAAAAGTAAAGGTGCTCTCCCCTAGATTAATTTGCAGGTAAGTATTGAAAGGCAAATTCTACATCTGGTATTTTTCATAACTTGGTTATACATTTATATATAATGCTCCAACTGTATATTATGAGATTCAGGAAGAACACAGAAAGTGTTCAGTGGTAAAGAAGTCAGGCAGTCAGTACAAGCAAGAGTTCTATGCACAAACTATTTACGCGCTACATAAAAGTCCCAAATGTATACAGGTCACTGCAGAGCACTAGGAAAACTTACTTAAAAAGGAAATCACTCTAAATGCCACTCTTTTACCCTGCCACACCCCAAAATAAATAATTAATACAAGTATTTGTAAGTGGGGAGAACCTTAATGCTGAATTAGAGAATGGCTGTTTCCAAGTTAAATCGGGACAAAGACAAGACTTCCCACACGAAAACAAAATATGCCCCTCAGTGAACATAAAAACAATAACACTTTAGTTTATAAAGCAGAGGTTTCTGGTCCATAATATTTATGTCCAGTAAGAATCTTCAGATTCTGTTCCAGTTTCAAAATACTGTCATTTCAAACTGACCAATTCTAACTAGTTATGATTTATTTCCCTAATAATTTTCCAAATCCATACAAGACTCCAGACTGATTCTTGGATCACAGTAGATTTAATGACTTATTCAGTAGTACCTGTTCCCTCTCTTAAGTAGAGAGGAAGCAACCTAGTAAGTTACATAAGATCTGAAAATTAAGATTTTTAGATGCCCCTAGATCCTTAAGCAAAAGCCAGATGCATGTAAGAATACAAGAATAGGCAATCCATGACTAAGTCCATGGCTTCTATAAAATAAAGGCTAAACAACACTACGGTAGAAAGTCTTTGGAGATCTCTGTATCGTGTGCAAGACACCTCTCCAAGCAAGCAGCTCCCCAACCCACCCATTTACACCATCCAACAAGCTAGATTTGACACCAAGAACGTGACCTGCATGGAAGTTAACTGGCACATCCTTTAGAAAGATCCACAAGGACGTCTGAACCTTCTAAAGGTTAAATGCATTTCAAGGAAACTTTCATTTAAGAATTTTTCAGCTACTGAACTTCTTTATCAACTGTTTCAGTGTGGAGCTAAGTATTCAAGTATGCTTTTGATCTGCATTTGCTGTAGCTTAGAGAGTAAATCAGAGTGTTCTAAAGGTTCAAGCAACATAAAACTTTACCAGCAGATGCAGTTCCCAACACCACTGGTTGAGTTTTCGCGACACTGACGTCCCAAATACCATCCCTGTGGCCAACATATTCCTTTACCAGTTGACAGATTGCCCTTGATGTTGTAGTTTTAAAACTGGATACAATCTGAAACGGCAGAGAGACCAACATATTTTTTTCCACATTGACTCAAGATTAAGTAATTATCTCACAAATACAAATAGATACTAACTTTTTAATAATAATTCTTCAGTGTTCTGACAGTTCATTGTCATCAAAAATTTGAAAATTTGACGATAGGAAATTGAGTTTACATACAAACATACCTCTTTGTTTCTCTTCTCTTTTTTTTTTTTTTAACACCCCGTTTTTTACAGAACACAAGATAAACTATTCTATACTACAAAAACACAATCTCACTGGAGTAATGAGTTGCACAAATGCAGAGTGCACTTCCTATTCAGTCTGCGTAAAGGCTTATAATTAAAAAAAAATAAAAACAAAAGAATCCCCAAACTTTCCTTGCCTATTCTCAAACCAGTATATGTGATAATTTAAAGACAGTCCATGTTATCCAGAGTAATGTCTCTGAAAAAACATACTTACTACATAATTCTTGTAAAATCTAGAAACGTTCCCATTTAAAACACTCACTGCTGTTTTTCTTCAGAACTGCACAAAGCTAATCAAATCAAACATTAACCTGAGAGCCTATGTCAAATTATTTGTGTAATAAAGCCTTTTTTTTAAAAGATATGTCAAACTCATCTAAGCATTTGATAAGCACGTTCCCTCAAAGTCAGTGCTATTAGGGGAAAACAGAGAAGACTCATTAAATCCAAATTAGTATATGTGTAAGTATTACCAAATGAAAGGAAGAAAAAAATTTAGCAAAAATGGTAAAACTACAAGGCTTTACAGCACAGGAAGGCTGAAAACACTAATTATCTACAGAAAGGAACTGAACTGCAGAAATTCTACATTTTGAGATGAAAGGGGAGTGCAGTATTTTCTTTTAAAAAAAGCTCGTCTTGCTGGAACGCTTCCAGACATAACTGAAATCAACAGTGGTGAAAGATGACGTCAAAAAGCAACAACACCGTTAAAAATATCCTCCACAAGTCTTGAAACTCATAACTGTTCTTTGAGAAAGACTATCTGAAAAGCTTTGTTAAAACTAAAACAAGACGACGACTTCAATATATGTGTGTTTTCCTCTGCAAGCAATTATGGGCAGGTATCCATCTGATCGGTTAAGCCAAAACCTTTAAATGCTTCAACACAAATCACATTAAGACTTACCTACAGCTTAGTACATGTTAGAAAATTGAGTCTACATTTCAGATACAATAAACTAATGTTAAAATTCCATTAGTTTTTGGTATCAAAAAAGGTCTTAAATATGTCATTAAAGCAAATTACTTCCAAAAAGGTTTTTAAAAATTAAAGAATATCTACAAGAGCATTCCAAATCCTGAGCATGTCAACTTTCCAATGATGAAATGATAATGCCCTATTTGAATTCCAAATTAACAGCTAATATGCATTTCATTTTCACAGCAGAAGAAGGAACAATCATTCGGGATGCACTGAAAAGAAAATGGGTTAAAGGTCAAGATTATTGGTTCAACCATAGCAGACTTTCACAGGCCTTGGATACAACCCTACAGGTGCAACTTTCACATTGGATACAGTCCTTAAACTAAATGGAGTCAAGTATGAGAAGTGGAACAGCAGAACTAAGTAAACAGTTAACTACCAATACAGCACCCAGCTCCAATTCCAAACTTAAATTTTTTCAACTCTCAACCTCACACTTGAACTATGCTTCCATTCTGTCTTTCTAACGTCAAGTCGAATCCTCATGGAAAAAAAAATCTCCTACTCATCAACAAGGGCAGATTTTCCAGAACTGCTGGACAGTGGTTTCACTGATCATTTAATGGCAAGACTGTAAAACTCCTTCTGGAATATTAGCAGTCTTGAATGAACACATGGAAGATAAGAGTTCAAGAACACTATCTAACACTAAACATCCAGAAATAGATATTTATTTAATGCACACTTTTTCTACACATTTTTTTTTTCTCTCTTCTTTTTTTTCCACTGTCCCTTACTTCACATACCAGTAACTGAATAAACAACATAGTGTCTAGATTACTTCCTACTTCCTTAACCATATATAAAGTTTTCCAAGAAAGGAAAGGAAATATTTAAATAACATGCAACTTGCTAAAAAGAGGACTCTGCACTGCAGCAGGTTTTTAAAAATAACTTCAGCAGATCTCAGATTATCATATACAAACACAAATAAGTGGGCAATCATATCCCGAGTGTGTTTCAGCTTTGTTCTCCTTCTTAAATCCACATGGCTTCATGTACTTCCTTCTATACAGAAATTCCTTGATAAGGAAACAGTTTGTCATGTAAATGACTAAAAACTGTAAACACCATGAAAACAATCATTTACCATGTAAACAACTGAAAACTGAATACAAATTGAAACATTTGCACAGCAAACAAATTGAAACACCCTGTAAAAATGTCTCTTAAGCAGACAGGGCATATTAGAAATAAGAATGAAAACTTGGTCAACTCAGGACCAGTCCAACACCATTACACAGTGACTGAGGACCAGAATTTCCTGTGGAGCAACATGAAGCAGTGAGGTCAAAAACTACATCTTCCAAAAAGTTATATTCCTTTCTACTGCTGGGTGAAGAAATACCCTCCTTTAAGAGTCCTCTTCCTGATCCAAAAGAATGAGAGATCCTAGAAGTCAGTTTATTATGGAGTGAGTTATATCATTTCAGTTTATTTTAGGATTCCGTATACACTGTTAATGTTTTCCTGAAGTCTTAACAACTGTCATAGCCAGTGTTAACATCAGCAATAACATCTTGTTAACATCAAAACATGAATTTCACACACCGATCTCTGCATCTACAAACAACTGAAGTTAAATTACAGGATCTTGTCCATTAACACATACAAAAAATTATTTTTAGAGTACCAAGCACTAAATCTACTCTCTCTCCTCAGGATTTGGGCACTGGTGGATAAACTCTGCTTCTAAAAACATCTTTTTCTAATACGAGTCTTGCCAACTTAGTATTCAGACTCCTAACTCAGCTAAAGGATGAAAAATATCCAGGTATAGGAATTTTCTATGAAGGACTCCAATTAAGCATGTTTACCTCAGCATTTTCTCCAAGAAAAAGAACAGATTGCTTTAGTCTTAGCACGTTTCACCAATATTGAAGCAGTCATTAGAACAAGCAAACACTGAAAGCTCTTTTCAGAACAAACCTGGACTCTTTAAAGGTTGGCAATCAGAAAAATGTAATCATATGCAATTACACAAAACAATTGATTTGTAAAACTTTAAAGTCTCTTCTAATTACCTTTGTTTAAAGACAAAAAATTAATATAAAATAAAAAAAGGGTTCTGACAAGTCTTAAGTTAGGCATATAGTAACAGTACAAAGCATAGGCTGAAGAGAAAGTTGTGAGCCACTACCCCACTGAGTTTGGAACACAATCCATTTTCGGTGAATGGCACCATTCATCCTATCTTCATACAAAATACAGACACAAGAATTTCAAAGCTGTTGAACTCTTAAAACTCTTCAAACGTTATTTTCCCAGATACAGTACTAGGGAACTCTAACTGCATCCAGTCAGGATACAGACAGAAAGATCATAGTTTGTTAGAAACTCACTTAAAGTCTTTCCTGACTTTTGGCTATAGTCTCTTTGTGGGTCAAGAGACAAAAGGTTACAGCTTTCCCTCTTCTGTATAGGAAGGAAGAAGCAGTCAAAATAAAACCACTGCCAGGAAGTGCAGAAAAGTTTCAGAGAACACACTGGACAGAGACAGTCTCAACTTTATCATTTCCCTCAACTCTCCTCTCTACCCACCAGTATATTCTGACTCAAAGCTGCAGAAAGAAAAGTATCAGCACATTCAAACAGCTGTTGGTTATCGATTGATACAATCATAGAATGGTTAGGGCCGGAAGGGACCTCAAAGATCATCTAGTTCCAACCCCCCTGACATGGGCAGGGAAATCCTCCACTACACCAGGTTGCCCAAAGCCTCATCCAACCTGGCCTTGAACACCTCCAGGGATGGGGCATCCACAACTTCTCTGGGCAACCTGTTCCAGTACCTCACCACCCTCAATGTAAAGGATTTCCTTCTTATATCTAACCTAAATCTGCCCTCTTTCAGTTTAAATCCATTGCCCCTTGTCCTATCACTACACACCCTTGTAAAAAGTCTCTCTCCAGCTTTCCTGTAGGCCCCCTTTAGGTACTGGAAAGCTGCTATAAGATCACCCCGGAGCCTTCTCTTCTCCAGGCTGAACAGCCCCAACTCTCTCAGCCTGTCCGAATAGATATGTATGATGGCTACAATAAGGTATTAAATTCTTCATGTTCCACTACTCATCACTACTTTGCTGCGCATGCATATCAAAACATTGGGAAGCAAAGCAGTTACCCAGGAGTCTCCACCCCATACATCCCAGCTTCCCACGCTGAAGTAGCGAGATCCGCCTGCCTTGCCCAGGAAAGAATATGAGCGCTACCATTGCAAGCAAGTGAAAAAAGACAAGCATTTAACATCAGTCTTAAAAAATACCACAACCAAACCAACCAATAAAAACCCCAACACTACACTGCAGAAAGTACTAATTCGTAAGTACGTAGTAGGTGTACTAATACTACATTGTCCCTATTAATATCACATTGTCCCTATTTAAGTGGCCTCATTAAAGAATTTGTAAGTTATTAACTCTTAAGAAAAAGGAACAGGCAGCTCTATGCATCAGATTGGTGAGAATGAAAAAGAAAGTTTGAGAAACAATAAAATAAAAAGGAGACCAAATAAAACACAGTAACTTAGATCTATTTCACCACACTACTTTTATTCTTACTCTCAAACTTTCAGACTACTTTAACAGATGGTATTTCCAAGACACCTACAGTCATTCCATAACCACACATTAGCCTGCAATACAGGTCACCACAGAGCTGCTCATACAGTTGGTTCACATACCAGAGCCCACTGTGGTTTCCTCACATTTCATTTACCTTAACAAAGTATCGTGAAATGACTCTGAGATAGGGCAAAAAGAGCTGCAGGTAAACTCGCTATGAAAACTGAAAAAGAATAGAGAAAGAGGAGAACAAAAATACAAGGCAGATGCAGATGTGCAAAATGAAAAACATCAGAAAGGGTAACTGTGCTGAGACCAGGCAAAAAAACATCTCTAGCTACTAATTTGCAAGGCTTGCGACATACAGGAAACAAACCACACTAGTTTCATAGCTAAAAAATAAAAATAATTTTAAAAGCCCACAAAAACCTATAATAGTGCACACATAGATGCCTACTTAAATCCCGATTTCAACTGCAATACCCAAATCTTTATTCAGAAATTTACTAAGTTCTCTATTTCCCTCATGAAATTGACTTTTTTTTTTTTTCAGTTCTCTTTACAGGAGTAATCCCACATACACACGTGTGCACATATTCTCCCCTCTCCAACATTCATTCTTTAAAATAGTGAGCAATTAGTGTAAAAATTTCATATAGTGTGGTTGAAGTAATGGGTAATTGATGAATCCAAGATAAAGATACTGTTCCTCATGAGGCAGGTTTACTTAAAGAATAGCATTACTCGGCTTAAAGAAACCACAATTTACAACTTAAAGACAGCCATGTTAGTACACAGTGATGAATAGAGGTTTAATTTGTCTCATACCTTGCTAGTAGATGCCTTGTAAGTTGTCTTTAATTTCTGAGAAAGCTGACTGGTACTATGACTGGCTGTTGAGACAAATAAATTCAAAGGAAGATATTTCAAATACAGCATTAGATTATTTGTACAAGTAACTGGTATTAATTCCCTTCAATAAGATTCTAAGTTTTGGACAGCAAAGTACACAAAAAGTAAATTAAAAAATACTAGTTTAGGATCCTTTGTGGTTCTCTTACCTTTTGTTTTCAGTTGTCCTTTGCTCAGTTCAGCTCCATCAATTGTCTGTCCTTCAGCTGCTAATCGCTCATTCAGTGTATCAATCTCTCTACGTACTAGCAATAACAAAAATTCACATTCATACAGAAAATTTAGTATCATTAACAACATCATTAACATACTATTTAAGAATTGTTATGGTTAGTAAGTAATCTATTTTATGCTAAGGACAGGAAAAGAGATCAACTGCGATTTTATAAAAGCAGGTCTCACCAATACATAAACCAAGGCTCATGCTGAATTTTCCAGAGATCAACCTTGACACAGATTCCAAGGAAAGCATTAGTGGCTTCTAATTACTGTTACTTTTACTAATAGATGTGGCTAAGGATTAACAAAACAGCTTCTGTGAAATACATGGCATAGCTCTATTGAATTAAATCCAACACAAGACAGAAAACTTGCAGCATCGTAAGTATTTTAGCCACAGAATTAGTATGTCATTTCCTGATAAAGACTTTATTAATCATAAAATAGTATTCTCCCCTGAATGCCTGTCTACTGTTAAGAGTTTCAGTAAGAAAGCTAGTGTAGCAAATGTATATTTTTATACTTAGAAATACGTTAAAAAAAATGTAGAATGACACACATTTCACATTCAAGTATTTTAGAAACACTAAATACAATCGAAATATTTTCATTGCACATCAGTCAAGGCTGTATTTGTAACAAGAATGTATTTTTCTGTCAATTACTTATAACTCTTGCCAGTGCCATTTCAACATAAGACAGAGTGATGGCACAGCTAACACAAATCAAGTACTCGTAAACTGGTCTAAAGTTGCTCAACTTCATTTTATAAAGAATATTTTCAGTGGCTTATAGTTTCTTCTCAAAATCTGGGCTGATCCTCTTTAAATGTTCTCCTCAAGTGAAATCTTATTGAGAGGCTTTAACCAAGCAGTTTCTCACTGATCTTAAATCGAGGTCTGTCTTTCCACAAATTCTTAGGACTTCTTTAAAAATACATCATTCACTCCTAGACTTTGAAACGTGGGAGAACATGATCCATCAGGAGTATGATTCTTGCCACTTCTGAGAAATTCACTGAAGTCTCAGTTCTAAGCACTAGAAAAGTCAGTTTACACTTCCATACCACATCCAAGTGCTTGAAACAAGCAAAGCAAGATTCTTTTTCCTGTGTTCCCAGTCACATAAATCTGAACTTTTGTAAAACACAGACAATAGGAAAGAGAAGTAAACAGAGACAAGCTTGTAGTAACAGATGACTGAAACAAACAAGTCAGGCGGATACAAGAATTGCCTGAAAGCATTAAGGCTGAAGCCTGAAAGGGGGAAGAAACTAGAATAATAAGGAAGTGTATGAAAAGCCAGGGAGGAAAAAACTTGAGATTCTCTAACATACAGTCACTGCAATACTAACGTAGGAATTAGACCAAGATCAAAAAGTAACAGACTGACCATCAGAAGAGAAAAATTTACTAACTGTTAGAGGAGTGGAAAGAGATCACAAAGGCCAGGAGTGAACTAGAACTGTGAGGTAAAGAAGGAAGATGCAGAAGAAACAGAAATGAAATGGAAGGAAAATAATCATAGACGGGAGGGTACCTACAAATTAATCACTTGTTTTCTGAAAAAAGTTTTTGAAGCTTGAGGCAGGGCGGGGGTGGAATCCCTACTTTTCTTGCTACAAGCCAACTTCTCAGCAGGAGGCTGAGAACTCAGTTGTGCAAATCGTCACTAAAAAACATGCATTTTAACATAGCCTTTGACCAATGCTATCTCAAGTTTTAGGACAATACAAATCCAGCACATTTGCAAAAAGCATGCAAGAATTGGTTTTTTTAACACAAGTGTTTGGTTTAACTGTGGGAACGGATTAGGTGCAGAAAAAAAAACCTGACTTGAAGCCAAACCAGACAGATTCCACAATTCAGAAGCCAAGGCATGCAGCACAGCTTCCAAAATCCAGCAAGGAAAATTGAGCAGAGGCTTTACTGTATGACTGCCTGTGTTACTTATTTTGGATCCTCTTACACCACCTTGGATCATTAACATTACTGTTCGACTGCTGTGTCATTGAACAAGCAACATTTTTTGCAGATATACCTGGAATTTTTGTCTGAATATTCAACTTCAAAATTCATGAACAGTCGCAGGTGGCTGGTTATGCCATGTAGTAAGTAGCATGATCCAAACCCACCACATTTTACACTTTTTCAAGTAAGACACTTTTCCAATTTTATTTATTAATATTACATCATTAAAATTAAGCCTGTAAATATACAACTAAGCCACAAATGTGAAGGGCTGAAAAGAGTTACTTCTAGATTAATACTGTATATACCAGAGCCTACAACGACAAGGAGGCAGCCACTTCATTTTCTTTGCCTAAGAGTCAAGGAAGATGACAAACATCAGTCCCACTACTTGTGTCAAAGAGCTAAGAAAGTGATTTTTCTGAAAAGGCACAAATCCCATCTTTGGCTACAAGTTCAAAACAATTCTTAAACTCCTCAAAGAAATGCTAGGGTAATTACCCTAGAATATCCAAGGTAAGCATCTCAATGAGCACTGCTATATCCTAAATCCAAACAATTCATAAGTTGCTGGGGGAAAAAAATAGATACTCACATTCCAAATTTTCAATATACAGGTTTTCAAACTCCCGCTCTATTTGTCCAAAAAGTTCAAGGAGTGTATTCCGGACAGAAGATGGTAGCTTAGAATCCTGGAAGGCAAAATATTGGGGTTTATCTTTTTCTTCACATATATTTTATGTAGTTATCCTTTAATCTTTAACTGATTATTAAGAGCTCCATCTCCCAGCAAAGAGGAAAATCAAAACTACTACTAGTGTAAAACATGAAACAAAAAGCTCTGTGCATCATAAAATTATTCATTTTACATACTCTTACTCAGAACAGAATTCAAATCACCTGCGGGGTTTTTTTTTTGTTTTGTTTTTACTAGAGTTAAATTATAAAACCAAGATACATGTACAAGTCCCTAAAGAAAAAAGGTTGAAAAAAATTGTAATAATGTCAAGGTGCTTCCAGTTCAAGAAGAAAGAATACCTTTGGTTGACAAAGCAATTCAGAATTGACTTTGCATTGGGTTAGGAAGTTGTCATCACAAAGCACCTTGTTACCAAAGCTTCAGATATACTAACCTTTTAAATGCATTTTTAACATCTACTTACTTTCGTCACTAACCACAACTAACTGTGAAGGAAACTGCAATTTCTAATTCTTCCCTCCCTGGGTATTATTCAAACATCTCTTCTTCACAGAAAGTATTTTGAAGTAAATTCACAGAGTAGGGCGGATTTTTTTTCTTCAGTATAATCAACAAAGCAATTCTGAGGCACAAAAACAAGTATGTAATAAAACCACTAAGACAAGATTTATATGATCTGAACTCAATACACAGCTTGACCACAAGCTTCTGTTGACAAGTTACTTAAATTTTATTCATCTGCCTATAAAACGGAGATCAGGACCATGTTTTCCCTGAACAAACGCATACCATACTCAAAACAGGTAAGTACTGGTTTTTATTGGGAGTTAAGGTTCTCAACATATTAATGATTCTGTTATCAAACACTTGAGCAGACAGCGAGTAAAGCAGCAGACAACCGACTGCAATACATTACCCTAATGATGGAAACGCTCAACTACTCCTTTGAAGCATATCTAACCTGTCACCTCAGAATTCAATAAGACAACATCTTATTCCTGGACTAATTTGTAAATTATGCAGTTGTACTCAAAAACTGAGAAGTACCTATGCAAGGAAACAAGCTACCAAATTTCAAAGTGAACTTAATACAGTATCACGTATACCATATTGCCAATATATCAACGTTCATCTATCATTATACAGGGAACATGCCCACCAGCAAAATCTCCTTTTTATAAACAAAGAAAAAGTGTGTAATTTCAAGATCTCGAAATCATCAGCTATGAGCAAAACAAGAAAACTGAGTCAGCTTCTGCCACAGTACAAACCACTGTTTCAGATCTCGAAGTACAGAAGCAGCATTACTAGAATGCAAGTACAAATGTTAGCACACGACACCACCCAAATTCGAGCGAACTTCATTATTCACTGCAAGTTTAAGGATGATTACAGCTTGTTTTGTTCTTAAGCGTTCCAGCAAACCCAAACCGAAAGAAATCGGTTCCACTCCTACCAAGCGACCGAATTAGGAAGCGGCGTGTGCACACTCGCCACCGGAGGGCAGCATGCGCCTTCCACCAAGTCAGCATCTAAAGAACCAGAACTTAATCTCACATTTTGCTTCATACAATCAAAATTATTGTCTTCGGCAATAATTAGAAAAGCCTATCATGATCTCGATTTTGTAAGCTATTTCTGAACATCAATTTTACAGATAAGAGCAAAAGAAAACACTAATAGCCATCACATAGAGCACATCTGCTTTGTGGATAATTCAGTTTTACACCAGTTTCACAGCTACTTTAAGCTGTGACACTGTGCTGAAACAGGCACTGTGCTGAAAGAAGTGGTCCTATGCTCCTTACGTGACCCTATGATATTCCTTTCTACATCTTCATGTGCAACTCCCTCAAGACAGTACTTTTGTTCATGCATTCAGTCAGCCTGAACATGAAACAGATCCCAATTAAAAAGAACTTGAAACAAAATGAATTAAACAAGAATACTATACAAATGAAACACTAGTAAGAGAAACACTGTAGTTAGAATTATTTACGATTCAGTCACCCCATAATTCCATATAGCAAGGTTATGAAAGAAACAAAGTTATCCTACAACTTTCCAAACAGAAAAAGATGTAGGAAAGGTTTTCAATCCACTTCTCAGAGCCTGAAAGCATAAGCAGATCTAAACCTGTCCTAAAGTAACCAGCATAGTAAAACACATCCACTTCCTTTACTCTCTTTAAAGTTGGCATTATTTGAATTATTGTATTAAAATACTGTGTAATAATGTTATCTGTTTATCTGCAAAAGTATTTATCCAGGTCTGATGTGGTTTACAGCTCCACTGCGAAGGGGCATTAACTCTCTACTCACTAGAATCTGCTGCTGGCTGTTCAAGGTTAAAGGTTAACAAAATTAAATAAGGCGATACATAAAACATTTACATATTACAGCATAATACACTTATACAGTTTGATAAGAAATATTAAAGCAGCTGAAAATTTTGGTTTACTACATAGAAGTGACAGAATGCCTTGACCTCTCAGCTGCCCTTCGCTCCTTTCGTGGAACAAGGCTGTAATAGTCCAAATGCATCAATAGTTTTCTCTCCAAGTACTTACGTTCTCCAACTTCCACATGACTAGAAGCAACAACTTGGGCTCTGCTAGTTCCGAGAAGATTAATGTTGTAATTAACTGATAACAGATTCAATTTAAAAAAAAAATAATCTATTACAACACTTAGAAAACACACAAGGTTTTCCCTTCAGAGTACCTGCAGAGACCAGAAAGTGAAGTTTCTATTATTTCAAACCACCTCTCTGATAAAAATCAAGTTTTGCATCATCTTTGCCAGGCCCACATTAACACGGCATATTCCATTTGACAGTAAACAGTTTTCAAACTGCTATCTGCTTATCTCTGGCAGCACTACTTCAAACACTTCCTACAGGAGCTTACCTACAGTTAATCTCAACAATTGTTAGGTGAAGCACTCCAAGTGGCTTCAGATTATGTCCACTACATAGACTGACGTGATTAAGAAAACTGCAGCAGTTTGTGGTTGTTGTTCTTTCCCTTAAGATTAATACACAGAGGATCACATCTTCATTTGAGTAAATTAAAAAAAAAAAAACAAACAAAAAACAAAACACAAACAAAAATTTAAGTTAGCTCAAGCCTCTGTCAGGCAGGCAATAATTGTTTACTTTATGGAAAGGAATGCAGAATGACTCCCCACTAATACCTTCCCTATCAGAGTCGTAACAACAAATACTTAGGTTTATTAGTATTCCTGGGACTATTCCAAATTCAAATTCATGAAACAAAGAATCAATCTTCAACTTTAAGAAGCAGGAGGGAGGGAGGTGCAGCAAAATGAAGAGGCTGTCTTTGTATTTCGTCATGGTTTTATCATTCATGTAAGAATACACAAAGGCCAACAAAAAGCTCCACAGGTCTGAACAGAACCAGGAGGGTCCTGGAATGCATTAATGATAATTTCCTTATCCAAGTGACAGAGGAACCAACAAGGAGAGGTGCCATGTTAGACCTCGTTCTCGTCAATAGGGAAGGGCTGGTAGGTAATGTTGAATTTGTGGGTAGCCTTGGCTGCAGTGACCATGAGATGGTGGAGTTTGAGATCTTAAGGGCAGCTAAGAGGAGGAAGCTCTGCAAGCTTGAAACCCTCGATTTCAGAAGAGCTGACTTTCACTGCTTCAGGAACCTCCTTGGTAGTGTGCCATGGGATAAAGCCCTGGAAGGACTGGGAGCCCAAGATTGCTGGTTGACTTTCAAGGATCATCTCCTCCAAGTTCAAAGGCAATGCATCCCTAAAAGGAAGAAATCAGGCAAAAACACCAGGAGACCTATATGGATAAACAAAGAACTCCTGGCTAAAATCAAATACAAAAGGGGATTACACAAAGCATGGAAGCAGGGACTGGTAGCCTGGGATGAGTACAAGGAAGTTGCTCATATACTCAGAGACCAGGTTAAAAAAGCTAAGGCCCTGACAGAGTCAAATCTGGCCAGCGATATTAGAAATAACAGAAAAGGATTTTAC